GGCCGGGATTCTGAGGTTAGTAAAATTGCCCAAAAGCTCAGAACCCTCAAATATGCTAATAATGATGCTCTAAGCACCTTGTATATATCTGGAAATCCAGGAAGTGGAAAATCGCAGCTGGCCCGTTTGGTAGCCAAGCGATTTTACGACGAAGTCAAAGAAAATCCTTACACGACTTCATTTGTTATGACCCTGAATGCTGAAAATTCAGAAACGCTTTTGGAATCCTATGTCGTTTTTGCTCGACACTGTAAATGTCCAGAGTATGCAGTTACAGACACTGTCAACTCCACAGACCTAAGTACAGACGAAAAGATTAGAAGTCTTAAGACGCTGATAGGCGCGAGAATTTCTTACTATACGTCATGGCTGCTGGTAATCGATAACGTCATTAATGTGTCTCAAATACATGGACACGTACCAGATGCAGGAGACGAAGAGTGGGTAAGAGGCCAGTTGCTGATAACAACGCAAGACGCTTTTTCTATCCCTTTGACAAATTCTGAAATCCAACATGTCTCAGTCAGCGAAGGAATGCATCCAGATGATGCCCGCTCGTTGTTAACAATCCTGTCAGGGGTGAATGATGGTGAAATGGAAGATGAAGTTGCACAGGCATTAGACTATCAACCTCTTGCCTTAGCGAGTGCCTCCATTTATGTGCGAGAAGTTCGGCAGAGTAAAGTATCTGTCAACTTTGGCTGGGGCGACTATCTGGAGAAACTTGTAGGCGGTCAACGAAATACGACAGAGACTATTCTTACTGAGACAAATCCAAGCTACAAGAAGTCCATGACAACAGCAATAACACTTGCAGTGGAAAAAGTGATGACGACCGAAAGAGTTATCAATCACCTGTTCACTTTTCTCGCTCTTTGTTCACCTCACCCAATACCTCACGACGTCGCTGTCAATTATATCATGGAAATGGATGAAGAATTTAGTGATAAAGAGTGGATCGCATTGAGGATAAATCGATGTTCATTGATATTATCTGAAGAAGAAGGAAAGAGCGTCTATATCCGAGTGCATGGAGTTGTTCGATTTGTCCTTGATTCTTTAAAAACAAATCATGCAAAGGATTTATACATCAAAGCCGTCGTTGGGGCTGTTGCATCATTTGCCAAGGTCGATGACTTTGATACCCTTATCATCGGCTCAAAAGTTGTTCCCCACCTGAGAAAATTGATCCAAGAGGTTAAATATCTGTTTCCTACACAAGAATTATCTCAATTCAGCAAAGTGGGTGTTATTCCACTACAAGATTATCTTAATGACCTTCCGATCCTCGGACTAATGTGTCTCGACCATTGTGAATACGAAGCTGCAATGAATTATTTTCAAGTGGCCTTAGAAATCATACACTCATGTAACCCAAACGACGCTCTGGAAAAAAAAGCAGGCCTCTACCTCTGTGTGGGAACCGCACACAACTATAAGGGTAACTTAAAGCAAGCGAAGAAGTACAATGAAAGCGCACTAGACATTCTCCTGAAACAGCTCGGACCTCAGCATGTATATGTCGCAGCTTGTTACGATAACCTGGGTACTGTATACAGACATCTAGGTGATTTGCAGCAAGCACAGGACTACTATGCACGTGCACTGGACATTCGTCTGAAACAGCTCGGACCTGAGCATGTAAATGTCGCAGCTTCTTACAATAGCCTGGGTACTGTATACAGTGATCTAAGTGATTTCCGGCAAGCACAGGACTACTATGCACGTTCTCTGGATATTTATGTGAAACAGCTCGGACCTAAGCATGTAGATGTCGCAGCTTCTTACAATAACCTGGGTACTGTATACATAGAACAGGGTGATTTCCAGCAAGCAAAGGACTACCATGCACGTGCACTGGACATTTGTCTGAAACAGCTCGGACCTGAGCATGTAGATGTCGCAGCTTGTTGCAATAAGCTGGGTACTGTATACAGACATCTAGGTGATTTCCAGCAAGCAAAGGACTACCATGCACGTGCACTGGACATTTGCCTGAAACAGCTCGGACCTGAGCATGTAGATGTCGCAGCTTGTTGCAATAAGCTGGGTACTGTATACAGAAAACGAGGTGATTTCCAGCAAGCACAGGACTACTATGCACGTGCACTGGACATTTGTCTGAAACAGCTCGGACCTAAGCATGTAGATGTCGCAGCTTCTTACAATAACCTGGGTACTGTATACATAAAACAGGGTGATGTCGAGCAAGCAAAGGACTACCATGCACGTGCACTGGACATTTGTCTGAAGCAGCTCGGACCTGAGCATGTAGATGTCGCAGCTTGTTACAGTAAGCTGGGTACTGTATACAGACATCTAGGTGATTTCCAGCAAGCACAGGACTACTATGCACGTGCACTGGACATTCGTCTGAAACAGCTCGGACCTGAGCATGTAGATGTCGCAGCTTCTTACAATAAGCTAGGTACTGCATACAGAAAACGAGGTGATTTCCAGCAAGCACAGGACTACTATGCACGTGCACTGGACATTCATCTGAAACAGCTCGGACCTAAGCATGTAGATGTCGCAGCTTCTTGCAATAACCTGGGTACTGTAAACAGAAAACTAGGTGATTTCCAGCAAGCAAAGGACTACTATGCACGTGCACTGGACATTCGTCTGAAACAGCTCGGACCTGATAATCTTGGAGTTGGAAAAATTTATGTAAATATTGGTGACGCACACAATGAACAGGGTCATGGTTGGCAGGCGAAAAGAAACTACGATCGTGCTTTGGCGATTTATGTTCGAAGCCTTGGACCTGAACATGATGATGTTAGAATTATTCAAAATAGGCTGGCTCAACTACTGCAGAATTCTCGGATGGCCTTTGTAGATGTAGACACGCGTGATTGTTGTGTTACCTGTTCAATGTTTTGAATGTGTTACATTTCAGATGTCAAGATCAGGGAACTTATCGTTCATTAATCTTCATGCACGTGTACTTTCGTACCTGCGAACTTCAAGATTTATTAATAACAAATTTCGTTAAGGATACGATAAGGTTAATTAATGGGTAACGAACAGTTTTTTTAGAATCGCGCTCAGTTTGATCGCTTACGACCGAAACCATTGCTAAGGATTTCTTCTCTTATTTTAAGCGTTAAGACATATTTGAATTCTGAAGAGGAAGAAGTTGACTGTTTATCGTTGTGAGACATTCTGTTACTTATTCCAAAACCACAATTCGATTGATCGGATCTCTTCATTTTCGTGAGTTTTACAGAAGTCAAAGTTAACTAACGCGGACGCCCGTGATCACGACTTTCACTATTTCAGTAGGACAGTTTGTATACAAGGAGAGATTTTCTGTGATAGAAGAGGATGCAGAATATATTTCTAATTTTTTTTCTCACGGTATCCTTTTAACATCCACAACACTCCATTCACTTAGAAATCTATGGAGAGTAGAATGTCTGCCATCAGTGTTACTCTGTAAAGGTTGGGTATTCAATTTGATTTCTTGTCCAATTTGGTCACTTACCTGACAATAAAATCGGAGTCATTGCAAAAATGGGTAAAAAATGCGGTAGTTAATCCAGCAATCAGATTCAAAGAAATTTTGAGGGATTAATTAATAAAACTTTTTGAATATCATTCCTTCGGCAATTTACATACGTAATTTGATGGAATTCAGAATGATGGCACATGGTGAAAAAAAGAGGTTTTCTCCACCGACATTTTTTTTAAACGGAAGAGAGCACATTGCTTTTTCGCATGGCCAAAAGCTTCTAAGCAACCAATTACTACACAACTTACATTTTACAGAAGACCAAGAGTCTATGAAAGAGTACCCGTTGGTTAGATTTCCTTTGATGAAATATCTTTGAAATGCGAAGCGAGCGAAAGTGTTCAATTTTCGACTTGTTATGACCCGATCGATCGCTTCTAGAGGGTGAAAGCGAAAAGTTCGTTTTTCTCGAAAATGAAAGCATATTTGAGAAAAAAAATACACAGCCTTTCTTGTCTTACCAGGGTCTACTTCTGTGCAAAAATTGACACAATTTGAATTTTTGACCCTTGCCATAAAAATTTAATTTTTGTTTGATTTTTGCACGGATGTCCTCTTCAGTAGTAATATCTGATTATTTTATTCAGCGGTTTTGTCAGTGGAGATATTAGAAGGAAAAAGCGTTGGGACTCAAATAAAAATATTCCTGTTCTTCTAAGAACGCAGAAGGCCTCGAGGGCCTTGTGAAGAAGCAGCACCGAAAAAAGAAATGCGGTAAATTAGAGTTTAACCGGCGACCATTCCAACTTAACTGAAAGCGTTTATTTTACTAAGTTCGACAGATATATCAAAACCAGCCCACGACTGTTTTGATCGGCTAACCCAGATGTGAAGAACAGCCGGGCTGATATAATCTTACTGAAGTCATTTCCGTTCATCTGGAGCCGAAATTTAGGCGCATGAACGAATTTAAGTGGGATGTCGATCTCGTCGGTATGAAAGATGGACACGCACGCGCCGTGGTGGTGAAAATGAGCGAAGATTTCTCAAATTTCAATACGGAAGGATTACAAATGACATGCGTGAGAATTCAGTTAAGTGATGGCGAAAAAGAAAAGAAAAGCAATATCATCACTCGTTTTCGTGGATGAAGAGCTTTATGTGATAATTGTTCTAAAATCAATGGACGAGGAAAACAGGTACGATAGTCTTTGCTCTTGAAATTCTAAATTCTAAGTCTAAGTCTAAGTCTAAATTGTATGTTTTTGGTGTTAAAATTATCCCCTTTCAATTGCAGGAGTTCCAAAAAAGAAAAGAAAGAAATTGGAGGGCAAAAAAAGATATTGCTAAAAATGTGCGTAAAGCCCGAGGATGCCAATTCTGACGTTGAAGGCAACGTTTCGAGGAACGTTTTGCGTCCATTTCATTTAAGATTGCGTGATTCAGCAGCAGGGCTGCATCTCAAATTTCAAAATCCTCTGGTTGAGAAGGGAATTCCGAGACCCTTCCCAAAAATTGTTTTGATCAGAATTTCCCCATACCATCAATATTGGCTGTATTGTCTCACTGACTCCTTAGAAATTGTTTTGGCACTACTGCAAGGTCTAGTTACGTTATACACTTGAAGGGTCTTCGTAATATCTTCGTCAGAGGGCGAGGCAACCGTGACATCGATTATTTCAGAAGGTTCGCTTTTCTTCTTTCCACCCGCCAGATTCATAGTTAGACGTGTTGCTGCTCCATTTAAGCCAAGTCGACCAGCTGCACTTTTGAAGAGTAGGCTTGTGTTAGACCCGGAGTCCAACATGGCGAGAACTTCGACAAAGTTTCCATTTTTGTCCATGACTTTAACTTTTTGCACAGGGCAAAGTCCAGTAACAGGTTTCAACTTGCTTTTCTGGTACACAGCATTCCCCTGGATGTTACCATTCGATGTAGGTGTGGGCCCTTGGAACTGACTTTGAAACGGTGGTGCTTTGGGATTCAAACTTGTGTTAGTTTCTCCAGTCTTCTCATTATGTAGGCACCGGTGATGGTTTTTTCTGCATTTGTCGCAGGTTGAGCCGTCTGGTTTCTTGCAATCGTTTCTGTGATGCGCTCTCAGACACATCGCCAATGTTGCTTTACAACCTCCCACCTTTGATTGACTGTTAGAATCTGAAACTTAGGACATGCAGCCAGGTGATGTTTGGTCTTACAGCCAAGAGGACATGTTTCATCGTCAGAATCCTCGCTGTTAGCGGCGTTATTTTCTGTCTTTTTGGGACTTTTGTCTCGGCGAATTTCTTTTCTTTCCACTGTGTTGGTGATCGCTTTCCCTCGGGAACGAATACTCGCTTCTTGATGTAACCAGGTGATTAGATTGCTCACGGTTTCTTCTTTTCCTTCTCTTTTCATTTCTCTACCAAAATCTGAATTGTCACTTGGATCGAGTTTGGACAGAAGCTGGGACATGAGGAACGGCGCTTCAACTGACTCCAGCACAGGACACCCAACATTATCTTCCATGTCACTTACATAACAGGCTATTGTCGTAGCGAAATGCGTGACGGGACTTAGAATCTCGTTTGACTGCTTTAAGATTATTAATCTCGGTGTGCAGTTCGTCCATTAGTTTTCGTCTGTCTGCGAACTCTGTATCCAAAATGATCCACGCGCTGTCAATGGTTTTACAAGTTTTTACTTGGTCGGTCCAGAACGATCCTTTTGGCATTGCATTTCGAAAACGTTGCAATTGTTCATCTTTATCCTGACCGTATTTCTTCATCCAATGGCTGAACTCCTTTTTCCACGTGGCATAGGTTCTGCGAGTTCCGTCCCATACTGGTACAGGTAATCGTTGTAAACTTGAGTTTGACGGTTTTGATCCGATGTTATCGGCCATTTTCTGCACCGCCGACGTCATGGACGACATTGATAATGTTAGCGCTTCCAGAGTTGTCGCATTGTTAGAATTTTCTGAGGAGTTTTGTTCCTTTTGATATGCAGCAAACTTTAAAGTGATTTGAAGGAAATCAGCTTTGGTTTTGTCTCCAGCTTTCTTTGTTGCTAACACGAGTTCGTCTTCTGGGCCAGTGCCTTCGTCGACCAGTCTATCCAGAATTGTTTCCTGCTGTTTCTTGACCAGCCTGTACTTGGTTTCTACTAAACTGAATGCTGCTTCAAGTGTTTTTAGTTCCGGTTTTACGGAGAAAATTGTTTCGAATTCTTCCATTAATTCGTACAAGAGTTTGACGGCATTGTCCAGTTTTCCCGCGAGAGTTTTCACGTCTACCTTCGGCGGCATTGTGAGCGGAATTTAAATGCGAAGCTTGGCGGTAGTTAGTAACTCGGCGTAATCTTCTGCAACAAATTTTGACTGATTCGCTCCTGTGATTGAAGGGCTACTTTATGTTGAAGATTTCACCACTAACTGATTTTTGCATACATGACCGTACATGGAATTTATTTGCACTTGTAGTAGTATAGTCAACTGAAAAATTAAATTAATATGACAAAGAAGGTTATTACACATGTCGATTTCGGTTGAAGCGACGGGAAAAATATTATACTTACAATTTGTGTTCCATATGCGGCTAGTAAGCTTCGAAGTGCGATCTGTGGTGACACTTTTGAAATGTAAGTTGCGTAACGAACTTCTGGGTTTTTAAATAATTAGTCACCTGATCTATTTTTGCCGCGTTGCGCTAAGATAATTAAATATTCACAAAAAAATGACAAACGGCTTGAGAAATGCAAATCAGACAGTTACTTGAGTTTCACACAGAATGCAATCATCAGACTGTTCTGTTAGTGGCAGTGGAAATTAATTTAGACTAGACTCAGGGTACAGTCTGATATGCTTTGTGCGTGAAAATCTAGTAACTGTCAAGTTACGATTTCTATCTTTAAATAAGTATTTCATGCTGCATGTATTTGTATTGTGCACTCCTATGATTGTGTGAGACCATTTGCATTTTTCTTTGGTTCAAATTTTATTTTCCTTTGTTTTTGGTATGGTAATGTATGATAACAAGTTTAAAACAAAGTAAAACAAAATTTGAACTGAGTGAAACATTAAACCACAACTTGGGCAATAAAAAATATAATGTTAATTATATATTTATAGTGTTAAATGCCAAAATGCCAAAAAAGTTAATATAGTAAAAACCTATGTTTTCATTAATATGGAATGTTTACACTGTTTCCTTTTGTGTGTGAAGGTAATCTGAAACATTGGCAGCAACTGAAAACTCTGTGGGATTGGTGGTTAGTTACAATTTTTCACTCAACAAAAATTTATTTAAGTTTTAACTTTTCCCTGACACACCTTCACATGTATCACAGGTTCAACTGATAACACTGCTTTCCAATACCATACAACAAGTTTAAAATGTAAATTGAAATTAGCACCCTAACTTTTGATGTAAAATAATGTTAACTCTGTCAGTATACATGTTGCTGTAGATCAGAATTCACACTGTTAAATGTTTCAAATGCCAGGGTATGTCTTCTGATGGTGGTAAACTGAATGAGGAATATGATATACTGAACACAATTTCACAAAGTGACAGGTTAGTATTTAAAAGGAATAAGACAGTTTTAGAACATAAATTGATCTGTAGTGGATATTTTTGTTATCCAGCAACCACTTTCAATGCTTAACTTACCAGAATTTGGGTACTTTTTTCATTTTAAGATAGAGCAAGTTTGGAGAGTCTGAGTTGATGGAAATTTTTCCTGGAGAGTCGACTTCAGAAAAAATTCAACATGCACTTCTGCAGGGGAGTCAGGATCTTTCTTGTGTAATTGATTATCTATTGAATGGAGTGGTGCATAAGAAAAGTTAGACTAAAACAAAGTGAATGATGAAAATGAATGTTGACTTAGGTTTATACAGGAACTTGTATGTTTAATTGCTCAAATGCACTTGAACATACATAATAGGGAATGTTGCGAGAAGACTTGAAAGCTTGTAAATTACAAACTGCAGATATGAGTTAATAACACAATTTAACTCAGATATTTCAGCCTATTTTCCTACTCAGATAAGATGTTATTGAACCATTTGTTTTCAAGGCTTTCTGTGATAAATTGAACTATTTGTACATTTAACATTAAACATTCAAGTTAAGGAAATCACAGTCCTGAAGTAAAGATCAGGGATCCAGTATTAGTATTTTTTCAAAATCATCGGCTGTGCAAGTATGTTGAAAAATATACTTGCCCTGGCTAAATTTACTTGCTTGCAAACTGCCCATAGTATTGCATTATAGACTAAAGAAAAGCAATGACCAATAAATTGAAAGCTTGCTTTTTAGTATTATTGATTCATTTTGTTTGGTCCAGAAGCACTTTTTTTACAATGGAGTTCACAATAATCAATATTATTATGAATACTTGCTCAGGAACATATCTATCTGTTTTTGTTTTATCTTCTTTAAATTTTCTTTCATTTTTCCTCTGGTTGCAACACCTTGTCAAAATAGTGCCACATTTTACAACTTGTAGGAACTCCCAAATGAGAAAAAGTATCTAAAAAGTTCATGTTTCACACATCTGTCACATACAACAATATTTTGTAAAAAAATTCAAATTTTGTTGGACAATGTGTCATCATACTTGTCTGAATGATGTTGTGGTTGTCTTGGATTACCTGATGACCAACAATGTGGATCCCTGAAAGATTGTTATAATTCTCTTTCTTTCTTTCTTTAAATTGAATTAAAGAAGATTAAGATGAGGACAGTGCAGATTGAACTACAGCCTCATCAGCCTGGGGAATGAGGAAATTGGATCAGAAGGAAGCTTTGATGCAGTTTGTTACCTGCACTGTGCAGTCCCATTTACCTGAAGAACATCTAGTCATAATTAGAGACAAAAGCATCATAACTCAGGTGTTGAGGAAGTATAAAAATCCAAGATTTAACCTACAAATTCCCTTAAACATCCAATTTCAAAGCTCTGGTACAGTAGAGTTAGGGGTAGATGCTGGTGCCAGTCCAAGCAGAGCATTCTATTACTTGATGCAGGAGTTATTGAGAAGGCAGTTCAGTGGCATTAAATTGTTTGAAGGAGAGGCTGGTCACCTTGTACCATCCTGTGACTACAACCTGGTATCCAGGTCCTTCTTTGTCCTTGTTGGTAAGATGATTGTGCATTCTTTTAAATGACCTGCCCATGGAAAATTGTCATTTTCAAACCCAAAAATATAAGAACTTGCTCAGCCAAGTAAGATTCAGCAGGTTATTGTGTGTGGGTTATAGGTAAATAAATTATTAAGTTAATAATTGTAGCCATGGAATTGACTTCCAGATTGCAAATTTATATTATTTTTTACTACACAACTCTTATTGTAGAGATAATACTGCATACAATCTGTAACCAGGTTTGTTAGGCTTATCATAGTAGGCCTCCATCGGTCAGGGTCGACCATGGGTATAGCATCCTAATTGTGTGTTTGGCTGGAGCATCTGCGGCTATGACTGTGAAGGCCAATGCGTGAATGGCAGTCCCTGCCGCAAGTGCTGCACGTGTATGCTGTTTGTTGGACGTTGCTGATACGAAGTTTTCTGCGGGTCCGCCTCCTTGTGGCAGCTTGTGTCAGCTTCTCTTCTCCTGTTTTGAGGTGCCTTGTAACGGCTCCTCTCCATTGTGACCGATCAGCTGCGAGATTTTCCCAGGTCTCTGTGTCAATTCCTACAGCCTTCATGTCACGCTTCAAAGCATCTCGGTATCGCAGCTGTGGGCGTCCTCTGCGTCTACTTCCAGTGGCTAGCTCACCATACAGTAAGTCTTTGGGGATGCGGCCGTCTGGCATGCGATGAACGTGGCCCAGCCAGCGGAGTCTACGTTGCCTGAGTAAGGTTGACATGCTTGGCAGGCCCGCACGAGACAAGACCTCTGTGTTTGGGACTTTGTCTTGCCACGAAATTCCCAGGATGCGGCGGAGGCTTCTCATGTGGAAGGTGTTCAGGCGTTTTTCTTGTCTGGCGTACATCGTCCATGTCTCGCTGCCGTATAGCAGTGTACTGATGACACAAGCGCTGTATACTGCCATCTTGGTCTTCTCTGTGAGCATGGGGTTGGACCACACACGTGTAGTGAGGCGTGCAAGTGTGGCAGCCGCCTTTCCAATTCTCTGGTCGAGCTCGAAGTCTAAGGAGAGATTGTCAGTGACAGTGGAGCCTAGATACGTAAAATGATGGACCACTTCGAGCTCGTAATCGTCGATGGTAACGGATGGTGGTGTTTCTGTTCCTTGTTCCAGGACTTTAGTCTTTTCAGGCTGATGGTAAGCCCAAAGTCTTTGCAGGCCTGAGAGAAATGGTCCATGAGTGACTGAAGTGCTTGCTGAGTATGGCAGGCTACTGCTGCATCGTCAGCAAATAGCATGTCTCTTATCAGGGCTTCACGCACTTTGGTCTTTGCTCGGAGACGGGCAAGATTGAAAAGCCTGCCATCTGATCTTGTATGCAGGTAGATCCCTTCTTTCGATGCGCCAAATGCATGTTTCAGAAGGAAGGCAAAGAAGATTCCGAAAAGGGTTGGGGCAAGTACGCAGCCCTGTTTGACACCGCTGTTGATGTTGAATGACTCAGAGGTTCTGCCGTTGAACTGCACAGTCCCCTGCATGTTGGCATGGAAGGACTCAATCAGGCTGTGTAGTTTAGGGGGGCAGCCAATTTTAGATAGAATTCTGAAGAGACCCTCTCTGCTTACAAGATCAAACGCCTTGGTCAGATCGATGAAGGCGATGTACAAAGGCATCTGCTGCTCTCTGCATTTCTCCTGAAGCTGGCGGAGGGAGAATACCATGTCTATCGTTGATCTTTCTGCTCGAAAGCCGCACTGTGACTCTGGATAGATACGTTCAGCCAGTTTCTGAAGTCTTACCAAAATAACCCGAGCAAAGACTTTGCCCACAACGCTGAGTAAGGAGATGCCCCTGTAGTTGTTGCAGTCACTGCGATCTCCCTTATTTTTGTAGAGGGTAACGATCTTAGCATCCCTCATGTCTTGTGGTACGGCCCCTTCTTTCCAGCACGCACATAGGACATTATGTAAAGGCTGTAATAGTGTAGTCTTGCAGTGTTTGATCAGGTCAGGGGGATCCCGTCACTGCCTGGAGCTTTCCTTGAGGCCAAGCTGTTGATAGCCTTGCTGAGTTCGCCATTAGTGGGTTCGTTGTCAAGCTCTTCCATTACAGGTAAGCATTTTATGGCATCAAGGGCTGATGATGTTACTACATTCTGTCTTGAATAGAGATCAGAGTAGTGTTCCACCCATCTCTCCATCTGTTGTCCC